AGAGAGAAGGGCCTAGAGAGGCAGTGGTGATGGGTGTGATCTGGAGGTGTGTTTCTTGTCCCTGGCTCCTCCTTTCTTCCTGCTTCCTGGCTGCCATACAAAGACAGCTTGTTTGGCCATGCCACTCCACCATGCCACCTCAGCATTGGAGCCAGTCATGCCTGGACTGAACCCTCTGAAATTGTGGGCCAAAGTAAGTTTCAAGTGTTGAGTATTTCGTCCCAGCAAAGAAAAAGAAAATAAAGATGGATGAGTAGATTAATAGGTAGGTAGGTAGATAGATAGAATTATAATACCAAATTACCTAGTTATAAAATTCTAAATTCTGAGAAAACCCAGTTGAAATTAATGAGAGGTTTCATGTATGAACAATGGGCTTTACATAACAATAGTAAACAATTAAGCTCTTATGTTGTACTAACATTGTCCTTAGTGTTTTATATGTATTGCTTATCTCAAGCCTACTGAAAGTAAGTAATTGCTGGAATTACCCAGCTACAAAGAGCTGGGGCCAGGGTTGCACCCAGGCATCTGGATCTGGAGGGAACTCCATGATTTTACCTCACAACAAAGAGAAGGATCTGGGCAGTGTGAATTGAAGGCATTCTAGGGAAGAAAAGAAGTATAAACATGGCAGCAAGGGGTGGAAACACATCCCATTATTGTCTGCTTTTTTAAAAAAGTCTGCAGTATTTATACAGTTTACACAAAACATGATTACATTTTGATCAATTGAGCATTCTTAGGGCCAGCCATATAGCTCAGTGGATTAAAGTGCCTGCAAGCAGGCACAGGGACCAGGAGTTCGATCCCTGGGCCTGTTGTGACAGCCCTACCCCCGGAGCACACTGAGACAGCAATTGAGACTAGGCATGGTGACGCACACCTGTAATCCCAGCTCTTGGGAGGCTGTAAACAGGTGGATCACTACAAGTCCGATCTAGTAGTGAGACCCTGAACACCCTATAGACCCTTCCCTAAAATACAAAAAAAAAATTGTAGCAATCATTTACTATATATTTGTCAGTGGCGTATCAAGGAGCAAACCTGTGATCATAGTTAAGTTTCTAATATTTTTTATCTGATAGCATCAGACCATCAGTGCCATTCTACAAGATATAGAGGAAAGCCAAGAAGAGTTATTAGAGTTTGACATAAGAAACCCTAAGGATGCAGGTAAGTATGTTCTCATACTCAAGTGGTTGTTTCAGGCATCAGGGGTCGTTGCTACCTTAATCTTAAGGTACATGCTTATTTTAATGTTCTCAATGGCTCAAACAGCAGCCTCCTTTTATATGAGAATATTTAAAGCATCAGGAATTGTCATTACATTCATTGATACAAACCAATAGTGTAATTGTTAACAAAGATCTGTATTCATGATGATATGAATAATTTGAGAGATATTCAGACTACAATCAAAGATAAGCAGCTACAAGTGATATGTTTAGATAGAGATACTACCAAAAAGCATCAGGGGTCTAGTCATATCTAGGATTGTGAGATTGTGTTGCTTCTTGACTCTTTAGCTTTACTCAGCTTTGATAACGTTTAAAAACAGATCAAAATTGCTGTGTGCAGTGATGACGTGGGCAGAGAAGATCCTTACAACGTGAGCACATACACTAGCTAACCATGCAGGTGATTATTAATTTGAGCTTAGTCAGTGGGGCAGAACAATTAGAATTTAAGTGGGATGCTCCTTCTTGGTGCGTTGCTCTTTCTCTACTATACTGTAGGGCAGTTCCTTAGGATTATGTAATTGAGTTAGCCTTGATTTCGATATCTGGACCATTAATTTTAGAAAAGTGAGTCATTCATAATTGCTTTTTAAAATGCAACAATAGGATAGACCTGTGTGGCCAAATGTAAAATTTGCTATCCTTCAGTTAACTGTCATATTATTACCATCTTCATAGAACAATACATTAAAAAGATGTTGGAGATCAAAGAGATTATGGATAATGTGCTTTCCAAGCAGAAAGCAGAAAGGGATGATTTAGCTAAAAAATACAGGTGAGTAAAAAAAAAACCAGTTGGATTAATTAAGAGTTTCTATAGTAAACTCATTTCTAACTACAGCACTACTATAGTTGAGATCTTAATGCCCCATGGACACTGTTGGGAAGTGGGAAAGACTCTGAGATGGGGCCTAGTAGAGTCTTCCAGTTGCTGGGGAAGGATCTTGGCTCCTTTCTTTTCCTCTCTTCCTTCGTGGCTTGACCTTGAACCAAATGGTAGCTTCACTCTAGCACTTGCTCCTCTTTCTGTAATGTGCTGCCTTCTCACAGGCCCAAATTATTGAGGTCAGCTTACCATGAACTGATGCCTCTAAAACTGTGAGCCAAAATCAACCTTTTCATAAGTTGATCTGTCAGGTATTTGCTTCAGTAAAAGAAAGATAAGTAACAAATAGTTAGACCTAGGATTTCTTAAGAATACAAACACTGCTTAGGACCAAAAAATAACTTCTTATGGTTGTATGATCTGTTACATCCATTGGAAATTGTACTTTCCATAAAGATATTTATCTATTTCATTATATCTTTATTATAGGATATAATAAAGGACATTTGTAATAATAAGGACATTTGTAATAATATTAAAATATATTATTCAAAACAATATTTTAATACCTGAAAAAGTTGTCCACAGTGAAGAATGCAGTAAAAGCCTTTCAGGTCCAGAATCTCACAAATAAATGTCTCTCTTTACCCTATTCAAATTTTCTACATTACATTATTTTCTTATTATTACAAATGTCCTAGGAAGTTGATTAATTAGCTAATTTGTGTGTGTGTGTGTGTGTGTGTAGTGTGTAAAGTATGTTGCATGAGCTTTCAGTATTTCATGGTCCTTATAGAGTTTTATCCTGATAATACTGTCTTGGTTATATGCCTCTTCTCATCCTTTTTTTTGAGAAAAATGTTTGCTGTATGTTTCTCATTTGAGCATTTTTATTAGTTTTTTGTAGACTTAGTTACAGATGTACTCTATTATTTATTTACATTTAATTTTCTATTTTCTTTATATTTTTGTCTGATAATCACTTAACACCTAAAAGTTTTTCCTGAACTTATTTGAAAATCACTTTTAATTTTTATTTATAAGTCCACTGTCTTTTTTTCTTCATTTTGCTTTTCTCTCCAGTGGGTAAATATCTTAAGTTTCTTTCTGTTTCTTGAATTTTTTTTTCTGGCACCATCGAGCAGGTGAGCTTTTATGAGCTGCAGATGAGTAATTAACCACAGAATATTTTCTAGGGGTTTTAAAGAGTCTGGCTTTAATTTTCCTTCAGTGTCCTATGGCAGAAAATCCACTGAAATCTTGGGAAATTTCTGATCAGTTGGGATTTCAGGCTGTGTGTGTGTGTGTGTGTTTTTTTAAATGTATTTGGTACAGGGTCTCACTACACAGCTCAGACTCATAGTGATCCTCCTGTTTTCAGCCTCCCCAGGGCTGGGATTATAGGCATGTGCCACCACACCAGGTCTCAGTGGCCGGCTCAGTGCACCTAGGGGTAGGGCCAGTGTGGCATGTGGTGCCAGGGATTGAACTCCAGTCCCTTTGCTTTCCTAAGCAGGCACTTAATCCACTGATCTACCTCTCTGGCCCTCAAGCTGAAAATTCTTACTAATGTTTCGAGACCCATATGTTTTACATAAGTTTAAGTGTGATGTTATTACCAGTTTAACTGCTTTATCTGGCTTTCGTATTTTATGTTGCTAATTTGATTTCTTCCTGCTTCATATATCTATTCAGATACATCTGTCCTCCCTTGTGCTGAGATTACAGTTCCGTGCCACCATGCCCAATCTTGGTGGCCAGCACGGTATACTGTACTAAGGATCAAATCCGGGTCCTTGTGCTTGTCTAGGCAGGCGCTTAGACTGCTAAGCTATCGCCGTGGCCCCAAAATTATTTTTATAGTAATACTAAGATGTTACTTGCTCATGAATGTGCAATGGAGTTTTCCACAGACTACCATATGGCCAGTGGAATGCATGCTTATATGTTCTTTTTTCTTTTTTTTTTTTTTTTTTTTTTTTTGCGGAACCAGGGATTGAACTCAGAGTGAGCCATCTCCCTGGCCCTGCTTATATGTTCTTATAAATTTTTCAATTTCAGTTTCTAAAATAGTAAATATTGATAATCAATATAAACACAAACCTTTTGGTTCTTCAATAATTTTAAGAGTATGACTAGATCTTGAAGCCAAAAAATTTGAGAACCATTGGAAACCAAATGTTTAATATACTCAAGTTTGATGTGGGATAGGTAGGCTTAACCAAAAGACAGATGAAGAGGTGTGATGACCCATTTCATCTGGACTTCTAAGTGTCTTGGTACGGGTCCCCAGTACAGTTACAGTAATGACTTAACAAACTAGTATTTCTTAGATCTAGTTGATATGTGATTGTTGATAAAGCAGTCCTGTTCCTCTATAGCTGAGGAAACCTGAATGGAACTTATTCCCAAATTGTACTTTTTAATGCACCATTCCATTTAAACAGGAACACCAAACATAAAGAATGAGGGAGAGAGGGGGCCAGGGAGATAGCTCAGTAGAATAAGCGCTTGCCTGACAAGTGCAAGAGCCTGAGTTCAATCCCCAGTTCCTCAAAAACAGAAAAAGAATGAGGGAGAGCCAGATGTGGTGGCTCACGCCTGTAATCCCAGAACTTGGGAGGCTGAGACAAGAGGATCGTTACGAGTTCAAGACCAGCCTGGGTTACAAAGTGAGCTCAAGGCCAGCCTGAACTGCATAGCAAGACCTTGTCTCAAAAAGACAAAAAAGAATGAGGGTATTCCTCAGTCAGAAATTTCTTTGTACCTTCCAACCAAAGAAAATAGCAATCTATGTACCTTCCCACCAAAGATAGACAGCCCAAGTTGTCTTTCTCTTTTATGGTTGGCTCAAAACTGATAAATGATGTGAATATAAATCATATTCTAAAAAATAGTACTCACTGTAAGTAAAAGTTTCCTCTTGAAGGTTACATTGTAAAGGTAGACTTTCAAAGCTGATGAAAATTAAAAGAGTATCTTTAACATCTAGATACCTGCTAGGAAGTTTTCTACTGTATTTATACTTTTCTTTTTTCTGTTTCTTCCTGTAGGGTGTCCATAGAGTCATTTAAGCATGGAGTCTTGAGAGAACAGCTGGCCAATTTGGCCACAAGACAGAGGAAACTTTTAGTTGCAGCAAAAAAGCAGAAAAATATAAGCCTGAAAATTCAAAATTATAAGAATGTCACATGCTTGACTAGTCCTCATGTAAGGAAGCTACCGTCCAGTCTAGACATGTCCTGTGATAAGGACACTCAAGAGCTTACCAATCTGGACAACTTAGTACCTCCCCAGTTAAGTCCATTTTCTCCCGTCAACCTTGATTATGGAAGCATGCAAGAAACACCATTGTCTCCAGAGTCTCGGAATGATGGCCAAAATACTAACATCTGTCTAAATTCCAAGGCAGTTAGGAGGAAAGAATTTTCTAGAAGTGAGATGAATTCAGAAGAAAATGAAAATGATTGTACCTTGGATAGTTTATCAAAACCCAGGCACTCAGATAGTACTGAGAAGATTAAATTATCATCCCAACCTACTCCTTTTATTGTTCAACCAAAATACTCACAAAAAGAAAATGATCTTATGGAAACTATAACCAAAGATGAATTTTGTCTTTCAGCCACAAAAAGTACGTTGAATATTTCTGAATGCTCCAGTATCCTTTCCCAAAGTGATGCCCCTGTATCAACTGTTATTTCAGACCAAGACCTTTCCCATTGTGATCCAAAAAGAGAAGACAAAAAAACAGCTTCTCATCTACCACCTGGTGGGGCCTGCAAATCTCTGGCACCTCAGAGGAGCGCTGATCCTGGACATCCCATAAAATCATGTCTTAAAAAGTCAGCTTCTACCACCCCAAGTGCAAGTGACAGGCAGATTTCTTTTTCCTCTAAGTCTGGTCATCAACATGCTATCAAAAAGCCTTTAAGTTTCAGCACAACTCCTAAAAAGAAACGTATACAGATAAAAGATTTGATATTACAAGGAAGAATTAAACCAGGAAAAAATATTTTGGAATTCAAAACACAGGTATTTTTTTAAATATAAAATCATTCAAGTTTTATAAGTCTGTGTTGCTGTAGCATAGCACAGGTCTTTAGAGGTTTTGTTGGGCTTCTTGAGTGGCAGAACACAGCCACTGTGTTCTCAGCAAGTATAATCATGCTTCTGGAATTGTCCTGATGTACTTCAGTCACAAGTACCTTTGGGCTCTCGAGTAGAAATACTTGATTATATTATACAGAAATGATTCAGAAATGAGCAGTGTACTGCTGAAGCATCCCCTGAAGGTACAAATATAAATTCATCTTCTATAACAACCCAATTTAGAACAAGAGTGAGTTGGAATTTAGGTAATGTGGCTCAATTACAACAATATTTATTCATAAAAGCGAAACAAGAAAAAGATCTGTTAGATATGCCTATTAAAAAATGCTTCCTGTCCTCTTCTTCGCATTCACTTTTTAAAAGAGGAATTTAGAGTGTCAAAAATTACAGAGTCCTTGAATCCTTTGCTTATGGATCAGTCTAACAGGAATTGGTCTGGGCAAACCTGAATTTAATTTGAACGATCCCTGTTTCCAGCATTTCTTAGCTTTGGATAACAAGTTTTTCCTAGTCAATAAGCTTTACCTGTAAGTTAATAAAAAATATTTTAATTTTAAAGCTCTGAATTAGAGTTTTATGATTAGTGGCTTGATCTCAGATCTCTGTGTTCTGGTTTGCTTATCTGTTGGCCTCCTTATTGCTAAGTACTACTTAGATTAGCCAAAGCACCTCACATTTTAGAATATTAGTTATATTAACTCAAATATTAACTGTTACTACTTTCTTGAGGTATATTTGGCATACAAAAACACGGTATTTATTTAAACGTACAATTTGAGAAGTTATGTCATACGTACATATCTATGAAGTCATGACCAAAGACAAGATGATTATCCATTAGCCCCAAAAGTTTCTCTTTATATACCTCCTTTATACCCCTCTTTTCCCTCACCAGTCCCCAATTAATTACTGTCTGCTTTCTGAATCTACACACTAGGTTTCATTGCTAAGAATTCTAGATCATTAGAATTATACATTCTGTATTCATTTTAGCTGACTTTTTTCTCTGAATATAATTATTTGAGATTCATATTACGTGTCAGTAGTTCATTCCTTTCTTTGTTCTTGGCCAGTATTCCATCGTTTATCAGTTCACTTGGCATGGACAATTAGATTACTTCTACTTTTTGGCTGTTACATATAAAGCTTCTATACCAAGTATAGTCTGACATAGGCTTTCATTTTTGGATAAATACCTTGGAATAAAATTGCTGAATTATTGGTATCATAAGCATACCTCTAACTTTATAAGAAGAAATGTTAAAGCTATTTGTAAATTTTTTACATTTCCATCAGTTGTATATAAGAGGTATACTATAGTTCTTCTGTGTCATCACCAGTGCCTATTATGGTCAGTTTTTCCATTTTAATTTGTACTCTTTCATGGTAATACGTAGTGTAGATGTGTATTGTATATAATGGAACAGCTATATATGTGTAGTGAGCTATCATTGTGTGTTTAATTTGAACAGGTTGGTTGTAGTGGAAGCTTTATTTCTCCTATGGAATCATCTTTTGTTGATGTCTGCTTTTAGAGTTTGCCTTTAGAAGAGATTAATTCCTTTTTTGCAGTGACTTTAAGATTCTATTTTTGGGCCTAGAGAGATAGCTCAGTAAAATAATTGCTTGCCTGACAAGCACAGGGTCCTGAGTTCAATCCCCGGTACCACAGGAAAAAAAAAAAAAAACAAGATTCTATTTTTATATTGCATTTTCAGGATTTTGAATATGATACATTGTGGAGAATTTCTCTCCTAAGTGTGGCTATTTGATGCTGTTACATAACTCATCCTATGTTAAATTATTATCTATATGTTAAATTATTGCGATTTTTTTTGCTATTGTATCGATAAACAAGGTTTTTATGCCATTTGTGCTGTTTTCTAATTTTTCACTAATTCCAGTAAGTTTTAGTCTTTTTGGATCTATTTTTCATGTTTTCTTTTTCTTTTTAGGGTATCTTTCATTAATTGGGTACCAACTGCAGCACTGTCTTATGACACTGTGTCTTCACATTGGTCACTTTGCCCTGTATATTATAGTTTTAATCAATTTTTTTCCAGAACCGGGGATTGAACTCAGGCCCTTAGCCCTTGCCAGGGAAGCGCTTATTCCACTGAGCTATCTTGTTACATTGGTCACTTTGGCTGCCCATACTTTCAGCAGAACTTTTAATCTCCTGAATTTATATTTGGAGCCTTTTTATGAACTCTTAATTATTTTCTATACTCGTCATTCATGTTTTGAATTATTTTGTTTAGCTCTGCTTGCTTTTTATTAATGTCTTCTGTAGATTCACTGATCATTTTATTTGACCCATTAACTTTTATTTGTATCTTCTGTGATTTTTCTGAATACCTTATTTACTAATCTGCTTTATTATCGCCCTTGAGATAATTTGGCTGTGTGCCTTGTGATTTCTTCCTCTTTAATGCCCCATGGATCTGCTTTGGGGAATTAGGAATGTAGGTAGGCTTTTTTTTCTTGGCTTCACTTCTGTTTCCGTTTTTTTTTTGTTTGTTTGTTTGTTTGTTTGTTTGTCAATTTGTTTTTGTTGAGGCTCCCTGGTTGAGTGTAGTGGAAAGCTTTGTTTCTACTATGGAGTCATCTTTGTTGCTGTCTAGTTTTCAGTGGTGTTTTCTGGGCGTGTCTCACTATGAGTTTGGATGCAACCACCTCCATTCACCTGGGGTGGGAAGGTTCATCATATCTGACCCAGTACACAGTTCTCTAAGAATAGATCACAGTATTGTTAATGACTTCAAGGCAATCCAGATATTGATCCCAAGAAAACCAAGTAGTAGCCATGACTGTGCCATCTTGACTATAATAACAAAATCAGCATCAATATTTTTACCTATAGGGGGTGGAGAGATAGCTTGGCAGTATAAGTGCCTGCCTGGCAAGTACAAGGACCCGGGTTTGATCCCCAAAACCACGTGCCATGCTAGCCCTGGAACCCCAGGTGCACCGTGCCAGCCCCAAAACCAGGCGTGGTGGTGCATACCTATAATCCCAGTGCTGGGGAGGCTGAGACAGGAGAATCACTACAAGTCTGAGCTGTTTAGCATGACCCTGTACCAAAAAAAAATAAGTGATTTTCTTAGAAAAAATTTTAATTACAATAAATATCTACTAAGTGGAACAACTTTACCTCAAACAACAAACCAGTATTCAACAGTAGTCACATAAACTTAGCTAGATAGCTAGAGAGTTATAAAACTTAGTAGAGAACAAAGATTGTAAAGTTTGAATAATTAATCAGTGGGATATGAGAGAAAAGTGAGGTAAGGGAACCCTACTGATATGTAAAAGGAAATCAGTAATGTTAGAATAGTTGCAGGAAAGAATGAATTGAAAAAGAAGAAAAAAGAAAGAACAAAATATAGGCTATAAATGATAAGCAAGAAGAAAAAGTTGAAAGGGGAATAGAGAAAAGAAATAGAGAAATAAAAATGAAACCAAAAACTAGCAAGTAGCTCTGCACACCAAGCACTTGCTTAGGCAAGCACAGGGAGCAGGATTCGATCCCTGCACCACATACAGCGCCAGCCCCACCCCCCGGGCTTACTGAGCCAGCCACAGAGACTGGGCTGTAATCCTAGTGATGGGGAGGCTGAAAACAGGAGGATTACTGAGTCTGAGCTGCATAGTGAGACCCTGTATCAAATACATTAAAGAAAGAAAAGGATAAAACACAACCTCCTTCCCAAATAAAAACCCAATGAAGGAAAGACAGAATAATAAATAAAATATAAAAATAAAAAAAAGATTTAGTCCAAGAAAAAATTCCTTTGTTTTGAATGCGTAGTTTCTTTCCAAGATCTGCAGTCTTGGGCTACAATCAGAATATTCTCCTAGTTTTAGGACCCTATGTGTTTTTGAGGTGCCTTTCCCTCATCAGAAGCCCCTCTGTCCATTCTCCCCAGGCTGCAATTCAAGTTAGGGTTGTGACCTTGCTGCCATTGGTAGATGGAAAACATGACTTTCCCTCTGCTCTCTGTTAGATGTAGGCCTTGGGGCCAGGTCTCAGATGTACTGTTAGACTTAAGGTCAGCACCCTTGGGGGCTGATTGTTCCCCTCTGTCCCAGGGTGTTGTCTTTATCCAGGATCAGGTTGATTGGTTAGTCCATCCCTCTGCTGCCCCATGCCATCTAAAATGCCATTGAGAGCTGATTTGGATGATCATGCCCTTGAGTCGGGTACCACGTGGTTAGTGTGAGCCTGTTTGCTTAAATTAGGGGGGCCTTGTGTGCAACATCTTTTAAAAAGCAGGCCTATGATTGTGATCCAGTTTAATTTATCAGCTTTTTATAGGTTATACTTTTCCTGTCGTATTTGAAGATTTGACTCAAAGCAACAGATTTTTTTTCTTGCAAGTTGTCAGAGTGTTTGGTTTACATTTAGGGCTGTAATTCATTTTTAATTAATTTTTATCTATAGGATAAAATAGGATCCTTTTCATGTTTCTGAATTTGTATATTCAGATGTTCCAGCAGTATGTGTTGAAAAGTATTCTCTCTATTGAATAGCCTGTGTACTTATGTCAAAACTCAGTAGATTCCCTATTCTGTTTCACTGATCTATTGTACTGATCTACCTGTCAGCCCCCTTCACCCCTAGAATTTTAGCTCTGTCTCTTCATCTTTGTGAGTCCACAGACTTTGCCTGGATTCCCCTTCCCTACACTATGATCCGGAAGCTCTCTTAAGAGCAGTAAGCAGAGGCATTTTCAGGGCTTACCACATTAAATTCTTACAACACAGGGATCACAGTACTTTGCTTTCTCATGATTGGTTTCTTGGAAACCATTATTTCATATATTCTAGCTTTTGATTGTGCTAGGCTAAATTTGGTCTTTGCCCTGTTATTTTATCATGGTCAAAAACAAGTTCACTGGGGCCGGGGAGATGGCTCAGTGGAATAAGCGCTTCCCTGGCAAGCGCTAAGGGCCTGAGTTCAATCCCTGGTTCCACAAAAAAAAAAAAAAAAAAAAGTTCATTGATTTCAGTAAATTTTATCTTTTTTTTTTTCTTTCTTTCTTTCGTTTTTTGTTTTTTTTTTTTTTTAACTTTAGGAGACTACCCATAAGGCCAGTATTTTATTGAGTGGTAAAATTAAGGTTGAAAATGGTCAGATTTATCAAAACCCAGTCACCTGGCTAAAGGACCTTCTGGGAGGTGACAGTTGTGTGACTTGGAATTATGCTTGGAGTAAGGTGAGTCATTCATAAATTTGATTTAATTTTATATTCAAATGGAAAGACATGAATACTCTGAGCTACATTGCGCCCGCATCTCCGCTGTGTAGTGCCATCTGCTTTCCCCCACAGCTGTGCTTACAGCATTGCTGTGAGCATGGCCGGCAGCTGACTGTACCTCCACCTCTTTGCTCCTTCTCAGCTCAGAAACTTTACTGTCCCTAATTTTTTTTTTATTCCCAGTAGATTTCATGTCTTTGTGACTCCAGATAAAAAATGTGGGACCTCTGACGCATTAATAATGTAGTCAGTAAATGTTACTGTTATTCTGATAAAACAAACTCTCAGCAAATACAAAAGGAATGGACAAAAACTCTAAGGCTTATAGAATTACACTTTCATTTCTGCACATTAACAGTATCCACAGATTTCTAAAGGAAATATATTTTTCAAAAAGAAATGCTTTTGGGCTGGTGAGATGGCTCAGTGGTCTAAAGCACCTACTTAGAACAAGCTTCGCAAAGCACAGGGACCGCAGTTCAATCCCCAGCACCACATGCCAGCCAGCCCCGCCCCCTGGTGGGCTGAGCTGGCCACACACATACACACGCATGCACGCACACACATAAATAAATAAAATTTAAAAAAAAAAAAAAAGAAATGCTTTTATTCAGAGCCCCTCACCTCTGGCATCTGAGGTAAAAGCCCTGTCAGGAGTGACTGACACCCCGTGGTCCAGTGGTTATCCACCTGTGTGCCCACAAACACACTCAGGCGGTCTTAGTGATTTACTCAAAAAAGGGGGTATCATTACTTCCCCATTACCGTTTCAAATAATAAAGCCTACCATTAGCTTCCGCTAGCCACTGCAGTAAGCTTCCGGACACCAGTAATAGGTGCAGTTTGTTTTCTTTGTTGTTGTTGTTGTTGTTGTTGTTCAACCCAGCTTTGCCCACTCCCATCGCCAGCTGCTGCACTGCCCTCAAACTCTGCCCCAGCTCTGCATCCTGATCTCCTAAAACAGTGGTGGGAAATCTATGGCATGCATGTGGTACGCTGGCACTTTAGCTTTGAAAGTCCACCATCACTGTCCTAGACTTTTGTGGTAGATGCTTGCAGTTTGGAGCTCTGGTTCCTTCTGTCATATCAGCACACTCCATTTTGTCTCCTCTATGTCTTCTTATCTCCTAAGGCTTCTCCCATCTCTAAAGTCACTAGGTCATCTGCTTTCCGTTCACCACAGTCCATTTTGCTCAGTCCTTTTCATGGACTATAATGAATGTTAACATTTGCTTGTGAAAATCCCTTTAAGGTTTTTTAAAATTATGATACATTACACTATTATGCTGGCACTGAATCTGCTCACAGCAGCACTATATTACTGATTGCAGTGGCTTAGGTTTTTTGGACCTGGGCATCCCCCGTAAACTGTGCCCAGTAGCAACTCAGTTCTCCTACTCTGGGCACTGCATGATTCTGCATTTCCTGCCTTTGAGTAGCTGCATCATTAGCACACACACTGCAGTGATGCCTCATCTCCATATCACATTGCCCAGTGTTTTCTCATCAGCCAAGCCAATTAGAGTCTTACTGATTTGCACCCCTGGTCTGGTGAAGCGGACTGCAAATACAGACACTAAAGTACAGGACAATTCTTGGCTGTAAGATACTCCTACAGACTATTGAGCAGTCTTAGATGACGTTTTCCCCCCACAGTGCCAAAGATCAAACTCAGGACCTTGTGCTTGTCAGGCAGGTGCTCGTGCCACTGAGCTATGTTTCCAGCCCTTAGATGACTTTAAGAAAAATAGGGCTTTAAAAACTTATATGATA